AAGGACATGATCTTTGCCTGATACATGACTATTAACTACACATGTTTAGTCCTTACAATTTGGTTTGTGATCACCAGCTCAACTTCCTAACAAATTCATTGGCTTAACAGGTGACACTCAGGGGGCTACTGAATTTCATGGATGAGCTACAATCAAGCTGTGGAGGCGAGAGAATTATAGAGTTCACCATCAACTATAAGGAGAAGCTTGACCCTGCATTAGCGCGTCCAGGTTGCATGCACCTTTACATCCATATGTCATAGTGCATTCCCTCTGTGTTTAGGCAGCTTGTTTTTAATTACCTTTTACTCAGGCATCACTCTCTCTTCCCACAAATTAAAGAGAAGCCAATTGCTACCCATGTCACTCTCACTGAAGTGGCAGAATAGCTCTTGAAGATGAAGAGTGATGATAATCACTCTGCTCTTGAAGACTCTGCACTTTTCGGCACAGAAAAGATAAAAAATGAAAAGCTTGAGGAGATGTATATCTAGTATGTTTATATATGTTACGCTTTTTATTACATACAAATAAAACAAAAAAAGTAGATTTTTTATAAAATTTAAGAAGAATATGTATTTAGGATATAAGATGATAGTGAGTTTCATTATAATAATATGGTTTTTCAAAAGACATCTAGAGAATTCAAACTTGCTTATTCAATTTTATAAAATTGTGAAACAAAGAAAGAGAAAAAAGAACCATCAACCTTTTGTTAAGGAATTAAAACAAATTTGGGGGATTTGAACCAATAATCTCACTCTGATACCATCCTCTCTGATACCACTTGTAGGATAAATATAATTAATTAGAGTTTGTGATGATTATCTTGTTCGGTCTTCTTTCATTATCATAATAAAAAAAATATTTGCTATATTTTCATTTTGGCTCTTTGAAGGTGAGAGATATTTGAAGATCAAAATAAATAATTTTCTTATGACATAATCTAATATGCAATTAAACACAACTAAAATCCACTAAAAGTCTAATGACAATGAGAGTAATGATTATCACAATACTAATAATATGTTTGATGATGAAGAGATGAGTTTAAGGCCTTAGGCTTATTAAGCCCAATAACCTTGTATAAATACTTTCATCCTAAATTACTTTCAAATGCATCAAATACTGAAACTACCATAAAGTTAATCTATTTGAAAGTAAGAATAGCTAAAATAAATTATACCAAATTTCTTCAAACTTTCTGATTGCGACATAGTAGCATTATTGTCAATTTTTTGCCTCTTAATTTTTTTACTGGCATAGCTGTACAAACAAATAAGATTAAACCCATAAACAAAAGAAAATTCAAAAAATCAAAATCAAAATCCCCACACTTAAAATGATTGACTCTTCAATTTAGAAATATCTTTTGGAGTCATAATGATAAAAAAAATAATAAAATAAAAATAAAAATAAAAATCAAGATTTAATGATTAAATATGAGGTAATATTATGAGTCATAATTGAAGAAAATTAAAAAGTAAAAATTAAAAAAAATTGAGAAAACCTAAGTGGTGCCTATGAATAGGATAGTAAGGATTGAAAGGAGACAAACAAGAATTTTTGAGTGAAAAGAGGCAAATGAGAAGGTAGGGAAATAATTCATGTTATGATATCATATTAATTATTAAAAGACTTTCCTATGGGGTGGGGGAGTGAGACTTTTATTCAAGATAGCCATGACATACCTGGAGGCTTGTATAAATTTAAGGTATATTGTTTATTGTCCATAACCAGATGGCCTTTATTCATTTATATGGGATGTGGACACTGCCTTATTTTATTTTTTATTTATTTATTTTTTATCTTGCCTTGATACTTGATAGGTAGCTTTTTCTTCTTTCTATTATTTTTTTGATTTTTTTCCTCATTTTGTTTAACGTAATTCTTCTTTTGACATTTTGTAAGTTTTTGTTTTTTTATTATTTATTGTGTTTTGTTTTCTTTCCTGGTTTGTTGTGCATCCTTCTTCACTTTTTTTCCCTCTTCCCTTTCTCTTTTTATTGCTATTTAATGGATGAATAATCGCATGACTCAACTTTTTTCTTGGCATCTCTTCTAAATGCATTACTTTGTTGTGCCTCTTTGTCTCTTGATGGCTTTTAACGTGCATGTCTCTTATGCTTCTTTGCCTTTTATTGTTATTTGACTTCCTCGTTTTGTGACTTGTGCAGTTTTATGAAGAAAAAAGATTTAAGAGGTATGTGTTTACTCTTCATCATATCTTAAGATCATCTTGTGTTGTGTCATGAACATGCTAGTGTCTTGTGTATCATGTTTTTATCTCTTAGAATTCTCCTCCTCCTCAATTTTCTTGGTTCACCTTTTGCAAGTAAATAGATTTTGAAAAATAGAAAAGCTTCCTTTTTTAAACAAAATGATTAATAAAGAAAAATTGTTTTTCAAAATGGTTTTAGGTTGTGTGAGGTTTTTAGAACCTCCTCAAGCGAAATATATTCTTCTTCTGTGTGAGATTACTGGAGTCTTCTCATGAAGTTAATCTGAGATGTTTTAAAAAGAAATAAACAAATTTTCAAAATGGTTTTATGTCATGTGAGGTTAACCTTCTCAAGCAAAATTAATTAATTTCCGTGTGAGATTATTGGAATCTTCTTAAGAAGTTTAATCCAAAAGTTTTTCAAAAAGCTTTCTTTTTCTTTAAATAAAGATAAAAGAAATGTTTTTATCAAATATAAAAATGCAAACCCACAAAAATTTTTTAATAAATTAAATAAAAAAATTTTCTAAAAAAACACCAACAAAATGACACCCATTTATACTCCCAAACTACATGGGCTTTGATCACTCTAAAGACTACGTAGGCCCTAGATTTTTATTCCAAGCCAAGTCCAGCTTTGCAAATAAATTTATTTTTTCCCTTTATTTTTGCTCTTATTTTTACAAATAAAATGTTTTCCTTTTCATTGTTCTTTATTTTTTTAGGGTAATTAAAATATTGAAAAAAAAGGCAATATTAATTTTAAGTAGTTGACTTAGGGTAATCTTCTCTTGAAAAGGTGTTGCCGGGTGCCTAACACCTTTCTCATACAAAATTGACTTCCAAACCCTATCTGGTTTTTACAGACCATATTTTTTTAGGTTTTCAAAATTACTTTTTTAAAATTTTGGTGACGATTCCTCATTCTTCCCTTTATGGGAAGATTGAGATTCAGGCGTGACAATAATTATATCAATTAACATCTAATTCATAGAATTACAATGAGTTAATCATATCCTAGTAGAAATTTGATAACAATATGCTAACATCTTTATTGCGCTTTGATCAAATAGTCTTACTAGTTATCCAGATTATAACTTGTATTTTTTACATTTGTGTTTCTTGCCAAACTTTAAATTTCTAAATTTGTGTTTATGGTTAAATCTTCCACTTTATATCGAATCTATATTCTCTCATTTTGTAGACAACAAATTACATTGTCTCCACTTGCGTATATAGTTATGAATAGCATAACATACCATCACTAGAAGATGTCTTGAAGGCTAATATGGCGACATTAATTTTAGAATTAGAAATCAAGCTTTCAATACTCTGAAACGATGCCCAATCTTCATTCTTAATGAGGAATGTTTGAAATTAAAAAGCTCTTTAACATTTTTAGCTTGGCAACCTCTATCTTGATATTCTTGAGCATGACATCTTTCTTCTCTATATAGAGGAAGAAAACACCGGTGCAAAAATATCTCGAGTCTACAAACTAAAATGATCTTATAACAATAGCAAAACATTGATTTAGAAAAAGACAAATGGCATATGAGAAGGATTTTATTTAGAATTATTAGAAAAATTAGTAAATATCACACTGGCAATAATATTGTCAAATTCTAAGTTATTATATATGATATCATGATTTACAATATAACCATGAAAAAAATAATTATTTTGAACTAAAATTATGTCTGAAACAAACATATTTTTCATATTCATGTATCCTAATACCGAATAATCAATTGGGAAAAAAATCAAATAATATATATTTAAAAATACATTTTTCACATCTGTATATGTTTAAAAATAAATCGAAACAAACAAATGCGTATTAAACTTAAAAAACTAAACCGAAATTTGTATTCGGAGCACCAAAACTACATCACATAATTTTAATTTGAAAATCAATTTTCAAATATATAATACTTTTTGGTGACAAAAACCGCATAATTTGTTTATGTGTGAACATGACTTTGAATGAGATAAGTGGAAGAATAGAAATGACGATCATCGCTGGTCCCATGGTCTAGTGGTCAGGACATTGGACTCTGAATCCAGTAACCCGAGTTCAAATCTCGGTGGGACCTTTTTTTTTTTTTTTCGGCGGTAGAATCTTTATTTTGTTTCAACAATTATCATCAGCCTTATCTAACTGGGTTATTGAACGACCACATAAACTTGCATTGCATCCATTTCCCACTAAACCAAACTGTAATGCTCCTCACTCTTCCTTGCCAATAGTACTCGCGTCTGAAAGAGAATGATATTATTCCAATTCCCTTTTGAATCCAAACCACAATCTGATTCAACAAGCATTCTCTTTCTTCCAATCCAGCATGAAACGCTGCTGTAACAAACACGTAGTGTCCAAATGTTAGTGTAATTTGAAGTGTGGTTCTAATACTTGTGTCTTATAGGTTAAATCTCCCTGTCAATTTTCAGCCTTGCGATGTTCATAAGAAATTCTCACCTTTCTGCTTCTCTCCTACCTTCCCCAATTCAGAAATTTCCAAAGCCTTCTCACTCTCCCCCTTTGAATTCCATTCAATTCCCATCAAACGTTTCTCCCTCCCACTATGAACTGCATCCCAATCTAGAAGAAACCCAGGAGATCCATGCCCACCTGATCAAAACCTGTTTCAATTCCAGTGATCAAATCCCTTTTACTGCACTTCGTAGTTACTCTAGTCATTTATCGCTTTACAGTTTCCTAATAACCTCTTATATCAAGAACAGTTGCCCCATAGAAGCTGTGAAAATCTATACCCATATGCGTAGAACTGACTCAGAAGTGGACAATTTCCTCATACCATCTGTACTCAAAGCTTGCTGCCTAATTTCTTCGATCTTACTAGGAAAAGAGATACACGGTTTTGTGGTGAAAAATGGATGGGATACGGACGCTTTTGTTTGTAATGCCTTAATCCAGATGTACAGTGAGTGTGGAAGCCTGAAACTTGCACGCCTGTTGTTTGATAAAATGGTGAATAGAGATGTTGTTTCTTGGAGTACAGTGATTAGGAGCTATAGTCGAAGTGGGCTGTATGACGAAGCATTGAGTCTTCTAAGAGAAATGCATGCTAGGGGAATTAAACCTAGTGAGGCTGCAATGATAAACATGACTGATGTCTTCGCAGAATGTGCAGATTTAAAATTGGGTAAAGCCATGCATGCTTATGTGGTGAGGAATCAGAACTATGAGAAATCTGGAGTTCCTCTAACAACTGCTTTAATAGACATGTATGCTAAATGTAATACTATAACTTATGCAAAAAGGCTCTTTGACAGGTTGTCTGAGGCCGGCATAGTTTCGTGGACTGCTATAATTGCAGGATGCATTCATTGCGATCATTTAAATGAAGCTGTCAGACTATTTACCAATATGCTAAAAGAGGGTCTGTTTCCAAATGAGATTACAATGCTGAGTTTTTACAAAGAATGCGGATTCATAGGAGCTCTAGGACTTGGCAAGTGGTTGCATGCATTCACTCTAAGAAACGGGTTTAACATTTCCTTGGTTCTGGCTACTGGTCTGATTGATATGTACGGCAAATGTGGCGATTTCAGAAGCGCAAGATCTGTTTTTGATAGCATTGCTGACAAAGATTTAACAATGTGGACAGCTTTGATTTCAGCTTATGCACAAACCAATTGTATAGACCAAGCTTTTGACGCCTTTGTCCAGATGACTAGTTGTGGAATAAGACCAAATGAAGTGACCATGTCTAATCTCCTTTTGCTATGTGCAAAAGCTGGAGCCCTTGAAATGGGCAAGTGGGTTCATGCTTATATGGACAAGCAAGAAATTAAAGTAGATAGGATTCTAGAAACTTCTTTGGTGGACATGTATGCTAAGTGTGGAGACGTAGATGCAGCTTATCAGCTGTTTACTAAAACCACTGACAGGGACATGCCAATGTGGAACACCATGATATCAGGTTTCGCGATGCACGGTCATGGAAAGGAAGCATTAGAACTCTTGACAGAAATGGAAAGACTAGGAGTCATCCCCAGTGACACCACATTTGTTGGAGTTCTTCATGCGTGTAGCCATGCTGGACTAGTAATGGAAGGGAAGAAACTCTTTCAGAAAATGGTCCATGAATACAATTTAGTTCCAAAGGTCCAGCACTATGGCTGTATGGTAGACCTTCTTGGTCGAGCTGGATTACTTGATGAGGCTAAGGAACTAATTAACAGCATGCCCATGAGGCCAAACATGGTTGTGTTAGGATCTCTACTTGCTGCATGTAAAGTCCACAAAAATCTCAAAATTGGGGAATGGGCTGCAAAACAGTTTCTGTCATTAGAACCTGATAAGTGTGGTTATAATGTTCTGATGTCGAACATATACGCTGCAGAAAAAAGATGGGATGATGTTGCTGGTATAAGGAGAGCTATGAAGGACGTGGGCCTTAGGAAAGAACCAGGTACCACATCCATTGAAGTGAATGGCTCAGTTCATGACTTTGTAATGGGAGATAAGGCACACCCGGAAGCTGAGAAAATTTATGAAATGATAGCTGAGATGAGAGAAAAGCTAGAAAATGCTGGATACACACCAGATACGTCTTCTGTGCTGCAGGACATAGATGGGGAAGAGAAAGAAACGGCTTTAAATTATCATAGTGAAAAGTTGGCTATGGCATTTGGTCTTATAAGCACAGCTCCCCGCACTCCAATACGAATAGTGAAGAACCTTCGAATCTGTAATGATTGTCATACCGCAACGAAGTTGTTGTCCAAGATTTATGGGAGGGTGATAGTCGTAAGGGATCGAAATCGTTTCCATCACTTCAAAGAAGGATCTTGTTCTTGTATGGATTATTGGTAGGAACAATAATAATAAGACAAGGTACATCAGAAATTTTCTGCATGCAGCACAAATCGTTTGAACATATAAATTGAGTATAGTCCATTTTTCTAACAGAGATGATCACCACTCGTCATCTTTGAAGTGAGCTTTTAATAATTTGTTTACAACTTTGTAGTTCCATCACTAATTCTATAGTAAGTTAATTTGATATATTGGACAGTCTTTCGATTTTATACAAAGTTTTATTTTAGAGTCTCAACTTTAAAAGTATATTTTTAATATTTTAATTCTCACATTGTTAACCAAAAAAATGATAATATTGAGATATCGGATATTGATAAAACATTTTCATATATCTATACATTAAGTTTAATTTTCAAAACAAAAACAACTATGATTGTCAGGAAAAAAAATCATTTAAAACTAATAATTATATGATTAAAGAACTAAAACTATGCTTTTTAAAACTAAGGAACAAAACTGAGACCTTTTAAAAAGATAAAGGAGTAAATATATATCTTAAAGTTAAAGAAGTTAAAAAAAAAAATATCATGCCTTTTAAAGAAGACATAATCTAAGACTAACATTTTTAAGATGGGATTATGAGCCCATAGTGGCGCAATTATGTAATAGGAAACAAAATCTACAAGTTTATTATTATGTTTTATATAGAGATATAGAATTAATTGAATTTTATTATTAAATTTCACAAGATATGTTAAACTTTGTTAATGTAATTAATAATATACTACCTCCGATCCTAATTATAAGAGTCAGTTGACTAATTTGAAAAGATTAAGGAAGTAAGTTGAGTTAGTAATTTATCCTAAATAGGTGTTGTCTTTCCTAAAATATCCTTATTAATCAAGTATATTTACTAGAACTATTATTGTTAGAAGGGCTACTTTGGAAAAAAATGTATAAATATAAGAGACAAAGTGGATTGGGGTCTTATATTTAGGACCAAAATAAAAGTCAAACAGGATCTTTCATTAAGGACCGGAGGTAGTATTATCTTGCTACTATGATCATGAATGGGTAATTCATGATTAAAAAATTTTAAAAATATAGAGAGTAGAAAAAAAATTAACTCACATTTATGAAAAAATTTAATATTTAATAATTAGAACTAAATTAAAAACAATTTTTTTGCCAACAAATTAAAAACAATTTAAACTATGAGAACATAATTACATATTTTTGAACTGAGAATTACATTAAAAATTGAATGGAATTACGGAGATAAAGATAGTTTTAAAATAAATAATTTTCCGAAAATTTAAAGTTTCTTATAATTTGTAATTTCAATCTGATTTCTTAAATTTATTGCTTGCCAAAATAATGTTTGACTTGCCTGTAGCTTATAGGTTTTAAATTGCCGATCTTTGTCAAACAAATTAGCAGATAAGAAGGATACCAGATAAATGTTGGCGGATACATCGCTTAAATTATAAGCTAAAAGAGTTATTTCGCTTGAAGCAAAATTAATGCAACAGGCTAAAACAATGAAGAAACTCTGGCAGCAAGACAATGATTAAACGAGATAAAAGGAAAAGAATTTATATAAATACGATGCGTCAAACAGCACAACTCCGTCAAAACCCAAACTGGTGAAGCAAGATAGCAAGTATGAAGAGTCACAAACGTGCTTTATCTCTTGGGAACAAGAATTAAAAACAAAGGTCACAATCAAATCAAAATCCTTAAATCAATACATAAATCGGTATACTGTTGGTTGAAAAGAACAAGAAATTTCAGCTGGCTACTCAACTAACAGAATGAATAAATTCTGCAGATCGAATATATGTCAACATCAATGAATTAATTACAAATAGGAATGCTTTATGATTCTCTGCAGAACAAACGGAAGGTGGGCTTCAGTTTTGAGGATGCTTTATGATTCTCTGCAGAACCACAGTCCTTGCCATTCTAATGTCACGACTGCAAGTATCAGCTTGGACTCCCAAGTCTTCAACATTCTTCATAAAAACTCCCAGCTTCTTCTTGATCTCCTCTATTGCTTCCTTCACAGCTTCTACTTCAATGGCAAACTCTGCATTCTGAATTAGGGACTTAATTTCGATCTCCAACCGATCAATCAGTAGCCGGATATTATCCAGATCCTTTATGGCAACAAAGGTACCAGCTTGCATTGAGCTTAGCAATTCTTTCTGACATTTCAATACATTTTCATAGTTCTTCCACAGTGAGTCTATCCATTTTCCCATTGATCCGATTGGAATGGCAGCGGCAGCAGCTAGAGCAGCAGCAACATGTGGAGCAGCAATGGCTGCAGCTACAACTGAGCAGATCAAAACAGCAGCAAATGTGGCCACAAATATTGAACCAGTGACCTTCCTCCAAGTATGTACGTGTTTGAACTTCTTATCAAGCTTTTGTTTTCGTATTTGCAACTTCTCAAGCATAACTATCTGTTGCTTATAAACAGACTGAAAGATCTGGTAGAACTCTTCAGTGAAAGGATCGCCAGCTGCCTTGAAAGTCTTCAGCTCCTGCAATGTCCTCTCATAACAGTTCCCAGGCAACTTGGTCTCCTCCTCGAACTGTTGAAGGGCCACGAGAATAAGCAATTGGCTGTCCCGAGCTCTCTGGAGGCACTTCTCTAATGCAGTACAGAAATCCAAAGTTTGCAAGCTATTCTCAAAGTATTCCTCAACCAGCTCAAAGAGTTCCTGGCTTTTCCATATATCTTTCTTGCAGTTCAATATCACCTTCACCACTTCCTGATTCATCTCCAAAAGGCATTCTGTGATTTGTTTAAGAGAATCGAAGGAAAGGGATCGGAGTTCCACACCAACAGCTAGAGTATTTATAACATGATTTGTTCTAGCATGCAGGGTAGCGTCAAATGACTGCAAATCAGCATCTAGCTCGCAGACAGCTTCGTAAGAGCTCAATTCAGTTGCGTATTGCATATCAGTAGGGGGATCAATAATAACAGACGACGATTCAGGCATCTTCTTGCTGATATAGCTTCCCATTGCTTCGATAAATTCAAATCTAATTAAAGAAAGAGAAGAATCAGAATCAATTCAGGTTTCAGAACCCCTTTATCAGATAAAGCAAAACTCAATTTCTAAGTTCAGCTCTCGATAATAATAAATCTGACGATAGGAGTCTTAAACCAGCAAGCACGAGGATATGAACAGCCTATTTGAACATACCAATTAATGCTATTACGACAATGAAATCATCAAAGACGGACGCAAGAAATATCGATAATGAAATGAACCAACTAAAGCAATCAGATCCAGGGAGAGATCCTTTAAAAGCTCGAACCTCTCGGAAGTGATTAACGAAGAAAAAGATTATACTCCGGGATGATGACAGAGAAAATCGTTGAAGCTGATCGATGGGCTTTCTGTTTCTGAAATAAGGAAAGTAATATAAAGCAGGACGAAGAGCTTGAAGGGCAAGATTAACTAGCAAAAATCTTCGAGGTTAGATACAGAACTGATAAGGGCCAAGAAATGTGACGGGGTTTAGATTATAGAGTCGCTTGCACGCTTCAGAAAACAAAATGATGGTTTTGGGAATGAAAAGGCAAACGCGGGAAGGAATGTGCCTTCTCTCTCTAGGATTATCCCTCTCTTAAAAGTGTTTCAACGCGCAAAGCAACGATTTCCCCAGAAGGAAGAAGAAAAGATGGTGAGCTCAAGAAGCACAAGTTTCTTCAGCTCAGACCGGAAATTACGCAGGAAAATGCACAATATTTCGGCGCAGAAAACAACAATCCGAAGATTCTGATATAAAGGTAACCAACGTTAATGTATGTATTTTATAGAAGAAATCTCAGACGAGCAATTAAAGTACAATTAATTAAATGATTAATCACTATCTAACTTTAATCCACGAGTCACATGATAAATTCCCAAACAAGCCATATCATCCAGAAAACAAGAAGATTCATACTTGGATTGAGCGGCAAGGATTGAGGAATAAGTTAGTGAGTGATCTTATTTACAATGTGACAACACGATCGAAACAGTGTCGGCTGCGGAATCAAACACCTTGAAGTTAGTTAGAACTTAGAAATTGCTCAGAAGCAGTAGAACGAGAAAGAGATGAAGACATGGAGTCGACTTTGGCGCACATTTATGAACATGATCCATCTCCAGCTGATTACTTAATAAGTAAGTACTTGCAAAATGGGAAAATCACCCTGAAGGCCATAAGTAGAAACATATTTACACTTGTAGCCCTGCATTAATGAAATTATCTTAAGTGACCCTGATCCTTAGTTTTTTTAAAAGGAAAATATCTCTAAGGGTGTGTTTGGTTTGAGGGGAGGGAGGGGAGGGGAGGGGAGGGTGGGGAAAGGGAGGGGAGGGGAGGTTTTAACCTTACCTTGTTTGGTTTGATTAAAAAGGAGGGGAGGGGAGGGTATCTAATGATCCCTTGTTTGGTTCAAGAGAGGGAGGGGAGGGATAGTAATAACTAATTTACCATTTTACCCTTATATTTTGATTTATATCATTTTTATAGAAATTAATTTAAATATTAACTCAAATTGTATAATTTATAAAATTCACACGAATGAAATGATATATGCTAAAAAATCAAATTAATAATTTTATATTTAGGACGTGACTTACTATTTGGATTATTATCTTGTTGGTATTGGGTAATATCAGTAAAATTGATAAATTTTTTATTTAAAATTGATAATTTAAAAAAGTTAGCCTCATAATTTAATTTATTTGTCTAATTTTAAAAAGCTAGCCTCATAATTTAATTTAATTTAATTTATTTACATGATTGCTGTTAGTATGTAATTAACAAATTTCTCATAATATTGAATAGAAAATACTGCACAAATATAATCCAAAGATTACAAAATTAGAACTATAAATACTTACAACTTCGAACCTATCATGAAATAAATAAAACTCTTCTTTGAGCTTTTACAGCCTTCACCTTTCTATTCATAAAGAAATGTCTTCATCATAGTTTATAATATTTTGCTAACAATACAAAAATTTTCAACAGAGCATACCAATGATAGTGCAAATCAAGTCATCCCTACTACTAAAAAGCTAAAATTGTTAGCACCTATCAAAATATACAAAAAGCATCAGTATCTAGGCATTACGTTGGGCTTATATCAAAAGCCATCATAATCAAGTCATCATAATACAAAAAACATCAGTACCTAGACATCATATCAATTATTTAATAAGAACCGTAAAACATCTTCATTATCACTTGCTTCCTTATTGCAAGTGGACATTGAACAGCTGTTCTAAGCTTATCAACATCAGTCATAAGGAACCAATATATGTCAGGTATTTTTTCTGTCTCAATCCCACATTCTTCAAGCATTTTGCAAAGTTCTTCACCGGACAGCTGTGGCACCTGCATCTTTGTAGTGGCGACTTTTGTTATAGCTATATTTCCTTGCAGTATTGCCTCAGTTCCTCTATCTAGTGCATCAGCCACCCGACATATTGCCCCAGTTAGTTCCTTTAAATTATTTTCATGCTCTTTGGATACTCGTTTTGTCCTCTTACTACAAGCACTATTAGCAGCAGGAGAATTATCTTCTTCAGGTGATAATCCTTGTCCAGGTAAGTTATCTTGTCCATCTAACTCAACAAAATCATCATCATTTTGTAATGAACATCTACCTTGTGAAACAAGGTTATCAATATCATTAACAGTTCTAGTGACCTCTTCCTGAGAATGACGTCTCTTCCTCCATTCCCGCATTGTCTCCCCCTCATCTCCACTAGTTCTATCCACCCCATATAGTATTAGCATCTTGTCATAATTTGGAACAGGATTGTTTCTCCACTGTGCTGCCTTAGGCTTAGCCTAAAAAAATACAAGAAATAAAAGATATTAGCATGGAGATAAATTGTGCATATTAATATTATATAAATCTGAAACTAAAAGAGTATTGTCCCAATAAGCAACATGCATATATAAATGTATACCAGCAGCAATAATAATAGTACAGCTATGCTCGGGCGAAACTCGGGCTCTAGAAACTGATGGATTAGAGAAGGAGAATGCAGAAACTGGGGATGGAGAACATGCCATGGCTTTTAACTCGGGCGAACAAAGGCTTTTAACAATCTCTTTTTTATGAAACAATTTTTGAAAACGTAAAAGTGGCACAGAATCAAACAAGGCCTACTAGCCTGTATATATTACTCTATGCAAGGTACAAGTTCCCCAGCCAGTCACTCATATTCTCTTACCTTGTGGCATCACAAAGGCCACCAGTATCTCTGACAGATGAAACAAAAAACAGCAATTGAAGTAAATCTAATGACTTTATTTCTGATGCTATTATATTGACTCAGTAATTATCATTATTACCTGCAAATGCAATAATTAATAGAGCAGTATATTACACAGTTATCTACGATTGATATTTCGCTTTCACCTATTCTCCTTATAAGGTAATAATAATTATGATAATATATAGTAATAGAAAGGAGGGGGGAAGAAGAGAAAAACACAGATGCAAAGATTATCGTCCTCTGCAAAATTTATGACTCGCAGTATTGATCTGGTCGGATTGAATTTGATAGATGGTTGCGGTTCAGGAACTTTTTCTGGTACTAGGGTCAGTAGCTACCTTAAACAGTGTCAAAAAAACTGAATGGTAAACGAAACACAGAAAAATCACACGCACCCCCATTTCATATCCATGAGTACGAACGAGTGCTTAAACGAAACACAGAAAAATCACACTGATATGCTCGGTTCACAGATCATGTTAGCAGCAAACAAATCTATATGAAGTTGAAGAAATATACCTGGAAGAAAGTGCTGAACAAGAAAAAAAATAGCAGATGAAGGCACAGATCCAGCAATAGACGACGAGAATGACAGGCAGCGGTAATGCTTTCTGAACCACACACAAGGCAGGAGAGGAAGAGAGAGCAGCGAAAGAAAAAGACGGAACCATCTGAAAGAATAACTTTACCTTTTACAGAGGGGCATTTGATGGAATATTATAAAACTAATGAGGGCAAATTAGTCAGGATATTTGGCCTCCCTCCAAAAAACCCCAATTTGGAGGGAACCAAAATAGGGGGAGGGGAGATTTTGGCTCCCCTCCCCTCCAAAATTTTCAACCAAATGAGGGGAGGGGCTCATTTTCCCTCCCCTCCCCTCCCCTCCCCTCCCCTCCAACCAAACACACCCTAAAGAAAACAAAATGGTACGTAACTCCCAATTATTGATCATAATTATTGACGATGTATTCATAATTAAATTCAACGTATATGATGTAACTGCAATTGTAATTATGAAATTTCAGTTATAAATTATATGCAATTATTTATTTACAAATTACGGACATTTAAAATAATTACACTGAAAAAACTAGAGTTGAGCTATAAATTATGTGTGATTCACTAATAAATCATGAAATGAACAACAACAATAAATCACTTAGAACACTAGTTTATTATACTACCTTCAATCTTTAATATAAGAGTTAGTTGTCTAATTTAAATAAATTAAAAACATTAACTAAGTTAGTTGTTTATAATAAATAGGTGTTGTCTTTACTAAAATACTCTTACTGACCATGTGTATTAGTTAAAACTACCATTTGATGAAACACTTAATATATAAAACTACTATAAGAACTACCTTAAAAAATGAATAAATATGAGGACAGAATAAATTGAATCTTATATTTAAAACCAAATTAAATATCCAACTAGCTCTTATATTATTAGATTTCTAAACCATGAAAACTTATTTGCAAGTCATCTAAAACTTAAAATTGTCATGCTTATTTTATTATTAAAATTCACATTCCAAGGATATTGTTTATACTCTATAGTTTATAAATAAGTTTTTGTAATTTATAAATGTATTGTCTGTAGCTTTATTATTTGTTTTATTTCCTCCATGGGCATTTTGCTGTAAACAATTTGTCTGTCCGGCTAAAGGCTAAAGTGCTTTGGTGTGACTTATCGGGATTGGGGTACTTAAGTCCAAATACGTTTTCGCAGAAACCCTTAGGTGTGATTTTCCCTTAAAAATATTCTCGTTGGATAAGATGTAACCAAGATCAACCACAACCACGTACTAGTTTAATAACGATGTTTGAACAGACAAATTAATTATGAATAAAGTGTTATATAAATTTTATCATTTAATTATAAGATAACCTGACTCGGGAAATTTAGTCAAAGTACACATGTCAACCAACATTTAAATGGGCCACACTAATTTAGTGTTTAATAATTTTCAGATTTTTTCAGATTTTTATTTTGGCAAAACCCCTCAATGATTAGGGGTGTAAGGGTGTGTTTGGGATGACATTAGGAGCTCCTAAACTGATTTCTCCACCAAAAAAAGTTGAAAAAAAATAACTTATGTTTAAAATACATGTTTGAATAGGTTATAGAAATAAATGGGTTTATGCTCTAAAAGTTATATTTTTTTTTCAAAAGCTCCATTTTCTTGCCTTTGACTTCTCCACCAAAGGTTTGAAAAAATAGGTTTCAGAAGATGAGTGAGGAAGGAAAGAGAATGCATCATCTGTTTTTTCAACCCAACCCCTTAAATTCATTTTTATATTAATAAAATCATTCTTTTGTTGAGTAACGAAATCATTTTTTAAAAACACTATATTTATATGGTTTCTAATTTATATACATTTATCCATTAAATATATTTAATTAAATATTTTAGTATTTTTGGTTTTTCAACAATAAATTAATTATTTATTTCTAATAAATTTATTTTCAATATTTTTTTGTAATTGTCACATTGTATACATTTAATATTAAATAAGAATTATTTAATCACATTTATGTTTTTTTAATTATTTTACATCTAAATTAACTTTTTTTTATTAATAATTAGTTTCTTAAAGGGAAAATTGGGGATAAATATCCCATTGAGAAATTAATTGGCAAATAGGACCCTAGGAAGATCAGTTGCACATCACGAAAGGTCAGTTGCATGCACATAAAAGATCAGTTGCACGCACATAGAAAATCACTTGCATGCACACTAAAGATCAGTTGCACAAAAATGAAAGATCACTACCACACAACGGAAGTTCACTTGCACAAAGTCCTTAGGTCCTATTTGCTAATTAATTTCTCAATGAGATATTTATCCCCAAATTTTCCTTTCTTAAACAGATTTTTGAATAAAAATTAATTTAAACACAAATCACTCTTTGATTTTTATCTAATTTGAATTTTATAAAAACCAGATTGAAAAAAAAAGTTATTTTTACCGTTGTCAATTTTTTTTTTTAAAGCACTATTTACCGTTGCCAATCTAAACACACAAAAATGAAATGATTTTTTTTTGGTTAAAAGAGGAAAAGACTGACGTAGGTTTGGATTCCACGAAAGAGAACAACGCGGAAACCGGAGAAGCTCGATTGAACGCCTCCGTGGCCACGAGCGAGAGGATGAATGTGGCGCAGCCAGAGCCGTCATCTGTTCTGGCGTACCTGGATCCTCATTACTGGTAACAACGCTTGCTTTCTTCTCAACTTTGATTTGCTGATGAATTTAACATAACTTATGCTTCTTGGTATTTTTGTGCTTTTAGGGACGAGAGATTCTCCAAGGAGGAGCAGTATGAGTGGTTCAAGGATTATTCCCACTTTCGACACATAATTCAAGCCCACGTTACTTCTCATTCCTCTGTAATGCCTTTTCTCTCATGAGTTATGCTTACTGCTCCTTCCTGAATCATTTGTGCTAAGATTTAGTTATCTGAGCTTGGATATTTCTGGTATTTGACGCAACTCTTTTACCACGATTATAAGCATAAAGAACACTCTGAACAAATAAGAATCTAGATAATAACTTGAGAGCGCACGACTGCATGACTAAACATAAAAGCTTCTTTTTACCAAATAAATAAATGAAGCACCTGCCTTGGAAAAAGGAAACTTTTTGACAGAGATTAAACCATTCTTTCCATGAAAATGGGATCTTTAATGACATCTAGTTGGATTAATTCGTTTTAAAACGGGACATGAATAGTGGGGTGGGTAGTACGCTCGAACAAAAATAGTTAATAGGATTAAAAGTTAGAGCCTGAAGTATATCATAAATCATAAATCATATGCTGCTAGTCTGCTAGAAGCTGTTGGTCTGTTTCTCTGTCATTATCAACATATGATAAATTGTTGATATGCTTTCAGGTTTTAACAGAAACCCTTCTTCTATTCTGAAGATGCCAAATATAATATGCCAAAAAACTAACCAAGGAGAGGAAATTGTAAATGATTATTTATCAGTGGAATTTCTGCCTAACAATTACAACTAACCATTTTGCTCACCTCATCTAGACATTACTGCTGTGAAGCATATTGACATAGCGGGTAAAAGTTCAGGTGTTCTTCAAAATCTTAACAGAGATGATTATTCAGATCAGATATCCGAGAGAGGTGAAGGTGAAACCATAAAATCAGGGAGAGAAAGAAATTAGATAATAGTTGAATGTGAACTATGAGAAGAAAGCTTTTTCCCCTCTGTTTGTTGTTCAATAGTTGGCTTTTATTAAATTTATAAATGATCCCAGTCCCATTATTTGGGAGTAATATTGCTTGTCCCCTTTTCTTCTTTTGATGCAATATGACAATCATGCAGGTCCTGGAGCTTGGATGTGGAAATTCACAAATGTGTGAAGAGTTGTATAAGGATGGGGTAACCAACATAACATGCATTGACCTATCATCTGTTGTAGTGGAGAAGATGCAAAAACGGTTATTTTCCCGGGGATTCAAAGGTTAGTTTGTTATTTGCCTGGAACACAGCCTAGAATCCTGCATGCATAGAAGCCTTTCTTTTACTTGAGAATTGAGATACTGATGGATCCATAACTTTCAGGCTTGAATGTCTCAAGGCCTATGAGAAGAGAATGAAGACAAAAGAGAGTGCAAGGGGCTGGCTAGAGGGAAGAGAAAGAGAGTTGGGTTCTGACAGTGGCACTTGGGATGTGAGTGCAGTGAGATGTGTGTGTGTGTGAGAGAGAGAGAGAGAGAGAGAGAGGAGAGAAAGTTGGGTGCTGTGAGTGGAACTTGGGGTGTGAGTGTGCTGAGCTGGATGAGTGTGTGCGTGAGAGAAAGGAGAGAGCCTATGTGTGTGATAGGAGAGATCTATTAAATGGGTATTGAGGCGTGTGAGAGGGAAGGGGATAGTGCCTCTGTGAGTTGAGGTTGGTGTCTGGTCTCTTGGATGGTTTGGGGTGGGAAAGGTCTTTCTGAGTATTGTTATGTTTTCTCTTTCTCTCTGCTTTTTTCCCCCTACTGCTTGTGAGCTTTGTATGTGAGAGGGTTCTTTTGTTTCATTTTTAGTGTCTTTCACCGTAATCACTCCTTCTTTAGGAGATTATTTTCATATTTAACATAATACCAGTGTTGGATTCCCATCGGATACATACCCAATTATCCAGGTAATTTTACTTCATGCTTCCTTCTTAGTCTGAGTATCAAATTTTTCTTAGATGAAATTTCTCCCAAGCAGGAGCTATGATGAGTGGGTAATTGACCTTGCTACAAGTGTTTTAGTGAGCTATTGGCACTTTGTCACTCCTGGATAGAATATTATTCTTGAAAAATAATATCAATCTTTCATGGCAGAGGCCTAAGTAAGGTGTATTCAGTTGCTTTGTCCATCTCGTGACTGAATGTAATTGAATGAAGTTGAATTATTGGTTTACTTCTTAGATTTTGTTGATTGAATAATTCTGGGAGGAGTTGTTGCGTTAGACTGTATGGTCAAAGAGAGCAGCTGGGAGAATGTCAAGGGTGTTGCTTATGAAAGTTAAATCCATGAAATTTGGGAGTAGACGAATGCGAGCCTGTGACTTGCTGTGTCTAAGTTTTGTTCTGATTCAGTCTTCAAGTTGGTTTTGTTGGTAACAAACTGAAATTCGATCTTTTAGTCGAGGGGGAGTGTTGAAAGACCTATCAATTATTGTAGAATTACGTCTTACAGAGTAAGAAGTGTTTAAAGGATCATCTGTCTGTTTGATTCTCTTTAGCCCTAGGGATTATAATCTAGTTTTATCCTGAAGATAGAATTCAGATTCCTTTGTAGCTTTTTTTCTTGTTTATTGTTGGGTTCTTTTTTTTTTTTTGGGGGGGGGGTTTGATTTTAATGTTCCCTCCACTTTTGGATGGGGAGAGATAGGAGGGTAGGAAAGGGAAAATTCATTAAAATTTTTCCTCCCCTCCCCTCCAGGAGCATCTTCCTTTTATTGTTTATAACGAAATGAAGGGAGGAGATCAAGATCCCTCCTCTTCCATCCAAATTCCCTCCAACAAAACCGATGGAAATTTATCTTATGTTATTTCCTTTGCTTATTTTAATGGGGATCAACATAATAACTATTGCAATTTAGTTCATCCTACTTAATTTGAGCGTGTTTTACTATTGCCATTTCTTTGATTAGACATAAAAGTGCTGCAAGCCGACATGCTGGAGCTGCCATTTGGTGATGAATGTTTTGATGTAGTTATTGAGAAAGGAACTATGGTAAAACTAAGTCAAATTATTTTCCTTTAGCCTTCAAGAGAATTCTGATTTGATATTCTAGCTTGTTAATTATAATTTCTTTATTATACCAAAAAATATAATTTCTTGATAATTGAGTCTCTGATTCAATAGTCAATAAGCACATGGTATCTTTTTTGAAGGATGTATTGTTCGTGGACAGCGGTGATCCGTGGAATCCGAAGCCTGAAACTATATCAAATGTTATGGCCATGCTGAAAGGTGTTCACAGGGTATTGAAACCAGATGGCATATTTATCTCGATAACCTTTGGCCAGGTTTCAAGCTTGAATTGCTATGTCTTGTGTCTTTTTAAACGATTTTCTCTGTGATTCTTTTTTTTGAAATAATAATGTGTTTCTCTGTGATTCTGATCTAATTTAAGTGCTTGACAGCCACATTTTAGGCGTCCTATATTCAATGCTCCAGATTTTAGCTGGTCTGTTGAGTGGATCACTTTTGGTGAAACTTTTCATTATTTTGTCTACGTGTTGAAGAAGGTTAGTCTTTATGAGCTCCCTTGTGTATCCTCATATTAGGAACATATGTAAATAGATTACCTTTCATTCTTCTTATAGTAAAAGAAAAAAGAAGTAAAGAATGCATATGATAACTTAATTTTCCAATCCTAAATTATTTATCACTTCAATATCCTAATTTCTAATGACGCATTACATATGGTTTACGAATTTGAAAACTCATGAAGTAATTATTAGAATGGGACTCTGAGGGTTTAGCTCGGTCAACTTGATTTTATTCTTGTTCTGGTTTGGAGTATGGTTATGCTCAACAGTTTGGTCAGGATTGCGATTTACATGCTTGTATTCAATATTCTTTATGTATGTTTTATGTTTAACCCATGATATCTTAAACTTTTTTTAGGGACGGAGATCATTATATGAGGATATACCTGTCAAGAGGTTTGAAACGCCACCTCTTAATCTACTTCATGAAGAGTTAGAAGGTGAAGATTACGTTTTCCGAATCGATGTTGATCAATTGAACTGTTGAACTGTGGGGTCAGAATATATGTTATCAAATTCAATCTTCCTGCTGCAGTTTTATTTTATTTTATTTCTTTAAATGAAGGAATGACATGTTTCCCACCTAGTGGGATAACGCTGCATATTGTTGTTGAAGGAATGAAATTTTCCAAAAAATTTCCATATTTATTAGAATTTAAACAGTTCTGGTGTGTTGAAAGTGAACAGCCATCTTATTTTGCCATATCTTGGCATAGCTTGCACGAAATATTTTGCTAACTCTTCAAAGATAATTATCAATATCCTTGAAGCTCAATGTTTTCTGAGGCATACATGCTCTGGAGCCCATTCTTTTCTTTGATTTTTTTTTTTTGGCCCTCCTCGTTTACAGTAAAGGCTACTTCATCTTGAAAAGTTGAGTTCTTAAGAAGGTCTATGAATAATCTTATTCTAATCCTAATCTCTCACACTCTTGCATCCTAAGATTCATTAAACTTTTGTGCAAAAAAACAACGCGTACCTTTGATCTCGTATTGTTTGAAGCGCTGGGCTTTTATAATTGCCTTGAAAATGATGAGTAGGACCTATAGGCCCAAGCCTTTAAGGTGAAAAGAAAAGTACATTGATAAACTAAAATAACACAATCATGCGGTACAACGTAATGAACTAAAATTTATATTTAGTGTCTAATAATATTTTAGATATAATTATCTTAAATGAAAAAAATATCTATGCATAGAAAAAAATGTAATCATTTAGCCAAAATTGTGGTGAGCATGTTAAATTTTCTGAAGTATCGTAATAATGAAGTTACGCCTGTATAGTCGCAATTCTATGACTACGACAAAGCAATTTTCATGTATTCTGATGATGATGCAGTTGTTATAAATAATTAGTGAATAGTGATTAGTGATGACGTTGAGGGAAATTCTCATAGTAACAAGATCTTGTGATGAAAGCCTCCTATACTTGTGGGATACGATTTTAATCACCATAATAACTTTGTTATAAGTAATCAGCCATGACATTGAGAAAAGTAAAGCAAATTACATAGACATGAAATTCGAGATTTTAATCAGATTTAGATTAGATTACGAGGATTATTTTCAACTAAATTCAAATATACAAACTACAAGCTATTTTCCTGATCCTCAATATAGAAACTAGACAATTAATTTATAAAAATTTAAAAATAATTAAATTAAATTAATTATCTATAAAAGATGTGTGTATGTTTTCCTAAAACATTTTTTTATAATTTGTGTTAGGATTATCTCGTGATAAAAATTCTGTTAATATGTAAGATCAATAGAAATAATTTAGGAAAAAATTATAAACATGAAAGATAAAATAAATTAAGATACCAATCTGATCCTAAATTTGAGACTTATTTTGTAGGATCCGAAGAATATTATCTTTAGGATTAAAATAAAATAAAGGAAGTGATACTAGTAAACGACACCCAAACAACTAACCACTGTATAAATTAGGAAATAAACTAGTAGGCATAGAATAGAAAAAGGGATTTTTTCCCTCTCGCCTTTCCTTTTTTTTTTTGGGCCAACAGGGAAATGGTGTTTCAATATGTAAAATGGGAAATTCAAACATCAACCCTCGCAGTATAAAATAGGAAATAAATTGAGTACATTGAATAGGAAACAAATAATAAGAAATCCAATCCTAATTAATAATTGTAGAAAACTCAAAATCTAATCAAATCTAATTTAAATGGCTAGAACTCGAAACCATCGTTCAAGCGTCATGAAGGGATTGCATGTGATTAAAATAGGATGCATCGGTTTTGACTTTCTTAGTTCTCGTTAAAAAGCTTCAAACAATTTGGCTTTTTTATTTTTATTTTTTATTTTTTTTTGGTTGAAACAAGTCTAGTAGTCAACCTGGTCCTCATACTAACTTTTCAATATATGATTGATTAGTTAACAAATATCCACATATTATGCCAATAAAAATACATATTCACACTGGTAATTAGTTATTTATATAATAACGATAAAGATACCTAACCCTAACCACACAACTCATTTAAATTTTTTTAAGAGAAAAAATAAAGATACCTGTAAAATTAAATTAAAACGGTATAAATTGTCAATGCCTGGGAAATACCTTTTTAATAATTTTGGCCATATTTCTTATTAGGTTTTTTTCATTTTTAATAATGTTCTGCTTTACCTTCGTTTATAAATATAACATTTTTCTTGTTTCCTCCAACAACTTGAGTACTTTTCTCCGTAGAGTTTAAGGAAAAACAAGGATTTTGGATTTACAACTTACTGAAAAAATATTTATTAAAAAATTGTAAATATTACTATTACAAAATATCAAATTAATCATAATTAATTTCTCAAAAAATAAATCTAAGAAAATGATTTGCTGATACATATTGAGACACCCATAAATGGAAATCTTAGTTACAAACGCAGGGTTATATTATAAATGTCTAATTTGGAATTAAGACTTTTGAATTTATAGCTGTTTCAATTTTTATTTTCAATTGACTTTAGCAAAAAAATTATTGAAAGCCTAATTGTAATTAAATTGATCTTGTGAGACTGAATCACTTAACTAGAAATTGATGTGCCCTCTAATCAAGAGGTAACAACGGCGTTTTTGGAAAAACCCTCAACGCCATGGTTGTCAATTTCTTTTTTTTTTTTTTTTTTATGGTGACAAAATGGTTGTCAATTCTGATGCAAGAAACGAACGCTTTATGCTGAGCGAGTGCTGCCATTTTTTCTTCCCCTATCACCCAAATTACTCTCTTTTTGTTGCTTTTGTAGGCTACTTCTCCCCTTTACGCTCTCTTCAATCTCATCGCCAGCAACCCTCCTCCGAATTCCCAATTCTTGATTTACTCCGATTACGGGAGTTGATTGATTCCTGGTCGATTCAAACGTATAAATACCCCAAAACCCATTATTTTTGCTGTTGTACACAAGTCCTGTAATCTTTTCTATCTAATTCGTTTTGCGAGGGATGGACGAGTATTTGAGCAGCGATGACGATTATCATTACTCCGATCAGGGCTCCGTCGAAGGTTTCGAAAACGACGAGCCCGATATTCAGTTGGTTACTCCCAAGGGCCCCACAACTCTGGTATTCGATTGCGCTGCTCGCATTTTTTTGTTTTTGTTTTTTCAAATAGAGCAGGAAACAGGGAATCTGATTGTTGTTCGTTTTTTGTTCAATCGCTTGTTTCTTCTTTTCTGGATGGGCAACGTAAACGTTTCTTGGTGGGTTTGGGTTTGCTTTGGGTGGTAATATAGGTGTTGTTCTCAATGTTTTTGCTCGTTGAACCGGGGTTGCTATTACTTGGGCTTCTCTAAATCTTCTTGGTTGCGTATTGTTAGTCATCTTTTTGAAGTACATTCCATGAGCTATTTTGATAATTGTTTATGGCTGGAATTTTTTCTTTTTTTGACATGTCCCATAGCTAAAGCTCTAATTTTTCCCCTTGGAATCTACTGGAATTGCTACTCGGGAGCCCCCCCCCCCTCTTTGGGACAAATGATACCTTGATTAATCCTTGCATTATGAGAATGCTGGAGATTGTCGAATTTGTTGAATTCATGATTTGATGTTGAGAACGTGGCATCTGGGCGCGATGAAAATTTTCAGTCTGATGGGAAGCCCCTTTTGACTGATTAACATATTTATATCATACTAGCTTTAGGGTGACCGATAAAGTAAAAGTGTACATTCAATACTGTTTCGTGGAGGTGGATTCTTCATGGTATTTTTCCTGTGCTGATATTGTTTTTCTGAAATACTATGCCGTTTTCAGGTGATTACAAGGGAATCACTTCTAGCTGCGCAGGTAAAACGAGCCAAAAGAAAAATCACTGAACAATTGAATTGCTACATCATTTATTGTTTAGATAAATGTCACTTTTAGGTTTGGTTTTACTGAGGGTTCTTAACGTACTTTCATGCAGAAAGAAGATTTGCGTCTGGTAATGGAAATGCTATCATTAAGAGAGCACCATGCACGTACTCTGCTTATTTATCATCGTTGGGATGTGGAGAGGTTGTTTGCAGTGTATGTAGACAAGGGAAAAACTGCCTTGTTTGCTGAAGCTGGTGTTAGTGTGGATGAACAGTGTGATCCTGACTCATCAGTTCCTTCTTCAGTCACATGCGAAATCTGCATAGAGGATGTTCCCAGTCATGAAGCGACAAGAATGGACTGTGGGCACTGTTTTTGCAACAGCTGTGAGTATACATGTTTGCATGTGCTTTCACGTATTGCACCCTTAAGAGTCTTTTTTAAGCAATATTTGCAGCTGTTATATGGATCTCATTCTGTGTCTGCCTTTTGATGTTGTAATTATAATTATTTGGCTGTCAGACTTGCTTAATTTTTAAGACTGTACTAAGGCATTATCAGAAATTTTTTTCTTTTATGTTTATTATCTTTTTGCACAGTGATGAAAAATCACACAAACTTCATTTTTAGTTGTTTTTCATATCCATGTCTACTTTACAGGTTGGACATCACACTTTATTGTCAAGATAAATGAGGGTCAAAGTAGACGTATAAGGTGCATGGCACACAAATGTAATGCTATTTGTGATGAAGCTGTTGTGAGAAATCTAGTCAGTAAAGAGAACCCTGATATGGCAGAGAAATTTGATCGCTTTCTTCTTGAATCCTACATTGAAGACAATAAAAGAGTCAAATGGTGTCCCAGCATCCCTCATTGTGGGAATGCAATACGTGTTGAAGATGACGAATTATGTGAGGTAGAATGTTCATGTGGTCTACAGTTCTGTTTTAGTTGCTTGTCAGAGACGCATTCCCCATGTTCTTGTTTGATGTGGGAGCTCTGGGCTAAGAAGTGTCGAGATGAATCAGAAACAGTTAATTGGATAGCAGTTCATACGAAACCTTGTCCAAAATGCCACAAGCCGGTGGAGAAGAATGGCGGTTGCAACCTGGTTAGCTGCATCTGTGGTCAAGCATTTTGGTAAGCATTCCCTTACCGATTGAACTTACAATTTCAATCATCCATAAACATTTAGAATGGAAGCAATGATTAAGAATTATAAGAATATTAGTCATGTTGTCACAAAATGCCCCCTTTTGGTGCAGTTGGCTCTGTGGTGGAGCTACTGGGCGAGAACATACTTGGTCAAGTATAGCTGGTCATAGCTGTGGTCGCTACAAACAGCTAGAGAAAACAGCTGAACGGGCGAAGCGAGATCTGTATCGATACATGCATTATCATAATCGCTATAAAGCTCACACAGATTCCTTTAAACTTGAAAGTAAATTGAAAGAGACTATACAGGACAAGGTTGCTATTTCAGAGGAGAGGGATTCTACGCTCAGGGATTTTAGTTGGGTGAATAATGGACTTTCCAGACTTTTCAGATCTAGGCGTGTCCTATCATATTCATATCCATTTGCATTTTATATGTTTGGAGATGAGCTATTTAAGGATGAAATGTCAGAAGAGGAACGGAAATAAAACAGCACTTATTTGAGGATCAGCAGCAACAGCTTGAGGCTAATGTTGAGAAGCTTTCCAAAATTCTGGAGGAACCATTTGACCAGTTTACAGATGATAAAGTTATGGAGATAAGGATTCAAGTCATTACCCTGTCAACCATTATTGACAATCTCTGCCAGAAAATGTGAGCTATTATTTGAAGAATCTCTTCATGCATCTTCCTTTTTCTTTTTCTTTTCCCCCCCTTTTTAGCTCTCATGATTTGGAATTTCTAATCATTTATGCAGGTATGAGTGCATTGAGAATGATTTATTGGGTTCTCTTCAGTTGGGCACTCACAGTATTGCTCCGTACAAGTCCAAGGGCATAGAGAGGGCATCAGAACTTTCAACTTGTTGGAACTATAAAGCCAATAATGCTGGTAAATGTTTAACGTGGGTTTTGTTTGACTTGTAAATGGTGAAGGACTTTGCCCTTCACCCTTTTTTGACCAGTTTGAGTAATCAATTTGAGAGAAAAATATTGCATTTGTATCAGTCATATTAAGTTTTCTTCAATTTGGCTTTGTGCTTCCTCATCCGAAATGTTACTGAAAATGATTATTGTGTTTTTGCAAGCATAGGTGGAACAGCAGAACTTGATCGGCCCTCTGGGTCTGGGAGTTCAGATGATAGCGGATGTCCTTCTCACAAGCGTGCTAGGAAAGAAGGTGCTGGTGGTGTCCTTTTTGATCTAAACTTGCCAGCGGAGGTTGTAGACAGAAATTGACTCTGAAGGAGACCTTATATAAATACAAGTGTACAGGTCTAACAAATTGCTTGTCTTTGATGGAATCAATCATTTTGAATATCCTGCAACTAGCTTACCCTGCTTTATATCTTACTTTTGGGTATTTCTTTGTTGAGATATATTGAGAAAAAAAATTCAAAATTATTTATTCCTATCTCTTATATTGGTGCCAAATCTTAGCGTTGTATATATGACCTTTTGGACACATATGGCTAATAGAAACGTAAACCTTCTACTTGTGACTGACTCGTCCCCTTTGAGTACAACCTCCGGGTTCTCGTTAAAGCAGCTCACTCCGCTGGTTTTCCTTTCATTCATTTATATGGTTCCATTTTCTTGTGAATCCGTTAGTTTTTTAAAACCCTTTTCTTTTGGCGGGTTGCTCTGGTATTGCTTTGAATTGTTGAACTTTTGAATTTAATGACCTCAGATAGTTGCCTGCTCTCCTTGTTCTTGAAAAGCAACAATTGATTCATTGACCGAACCATGTCGAGTGCAATGCATTCTCATTTTCTCTTCCACTGTCTGTACTCTGTACCTTGCCTGATGGGCATATGCAA